GCAATACTCGTATCAATACGTGATCATCGGAACACGTATAAACTTCGAAATAAAGCGTAGAAGACCAGTGTATAAGTGTATATTCTGTATATTTAACTTCTTTAATTTGTTCAAAGGTTAAATTTGCCGTAAGTGGGTACTTATCTTTGAATACTCCCTGAATTAAATAAATAACAAATAAATATTATAATACCATGAAAAAAATGAAAAATATGAATAATTTTCACAAACCAATGTAGTAAGTATGATATATATAGTAAAACCATGAGCATTCTTTAAATCAGCAATCACACTAGAATTTCCATTTAAATAATCATCAACTCCGTTTACAAGCTGAGTAAGGTATCTACAGCCCAGTCGAGTATTGAGAGGATGACCATATGATAATCGATGATAATCGATTATATCCCAATAATATCGTGATAATAAAAGTTCTTTAGGACTTAAGAGTGAACACCATGCGTCAGTTCGATTAAAAACTGTGAGCCAAAATTGGCAATTATTAAAAATGTATGGTACTAGACTTGAATTAAGAGGTGGGCTAATGTTGAATTCTTCGGAAATTCGCTTGGCAATTGGTGCAAGAGTCTTGTTACCATAGGTATATAGTTGTTCGTCAAGTATTTTATTATTAATAAAAACGGTCTCATTCCAACGCCGACAGGCGAAGAACATATATAATATACATCTTGCATCTATTCAAGATTATACGAGGTGTGGATTAATGAATAAAATAAAATAAAATCATCACATTAATAAAAAAAAAAATTTACCAATGGTGCAGTCCAATAGTATATATGCTGACTTTTACAAGTATCTAAAGGACCTTTGCCATTAAATAATCCTTCAGAAAATGCCATCATCGACGCACCGGTTCTTATATAAGTGTAAATATGAACCATCTTCGTAATTTCATTCAAAATAATGAATTGTTTGAAAAAAAAACTTAATATGAAAGTTCTAACAATATTTTACCTCGATGTTTGAGAACTCTGAAATTTTATAACTTCGGGATCATATTTAACTCCATCCCAAAACTTTGCATATCTTTTACGGGATTGTAAACCATCAAAATAAGGTTCGATTTCCCCTCGTTTGATCAATTGAAGACTTTTTACTCATGGGAAAAGGATTTTTATACTAAAAATATCAAATAAAATGATAGATCTCCTTGTTAAAACGAAAAAATAATTTTTAATTATGATTTAATTGTAAACCTTTTTACCCAATCTTTGCAACGGAAACATTAGAAAATATTTTTTCCAATTCGTCAAAAGCTATAATACGGTCTGTTTCTGGATATCTTGATCCTAATAATTAAAAGAAAAAAGGGTGTTTTCATGATGCTAACTTTGTAGATTTTGCACTAATTTATAAATTACCGTATCTAGTAATCAAATGTAATTGTTTTAAGTCACATTTATCGGGATAACTGCAGTTTGCGGTGGTTCGATATAAAAAGATTGTTATTAAGAAGATATTCTCTAGTATAGTTGTATGTTTTGCATAGTGTCGTGTTATAAATCACAAAAAGGTTAATAAAAACAAAATATAGAGTACGTTGTGGAAATTGCATCTTTTTCTTTTTTTAAAATTATGAATTTTTTGTAACGTAACCATTATATAAGGCAATAAATTTTCATCTATATCTAGCCCAATATAGAAAATTCATTTAACATTGTGGGAACGACAAACATTGTTTTTTTTTAAAACTTTTTTCTGATTTTCTAAGAAATAATTTGATCGATAAAAAAATATTTAGCCTATATTGTGTTACATCATCATTGTTAAATTACGGAAATAGTTAAAAAACGGTTATCTTAATTAATTTTCCCATTATATCATTGTTTTATTGTCTATGAACAATTAATTTTCTTTCCTTATTTAATAACACAAAGCGTAATCACCACAAAGGAAAATAACGAAAAGTTTATAATTTTGTAAATTTGAAGGCGCATCTCAGATTTCTGCGCTATATCTAGTAACGCTCATCAGTTAATTTCTGAATTAGCAGCAAAATCGTTATTTAAAGATTTGTTACCTAAACATAAAAAAATATATATTGAACGAAAAATTAATGAATGTCTCAAAATAGGTGAACAATAAATTAATTATGAGTTGTTCTATAAAAAGACAGATATTTTCTAATATATATTTTTATAAAAAAAAGCTTTTAAAATAATTTCGATAATTAAATTCAATCTTTATTTCGAACTTGACATTTCGTACGATTTCAGTTAATTGATTTTTTTTTAAAAAAAGATGCAGTTTTTATATCACATTCTATATATTGTTTTTATCATCAATTTATTTTTGTCCTATAACCAACGTTATGCAATAAATATTGTACATGAATATCTTCTCTCGCAAACGTCACTTGGGAAAATCGCTGCGCCGTATGACGATCATATTCTGTTTCTGCCATCAGGCCTAAGCCGTTCTTTTCCTTAGAGACTTATTTACAGAGCACTAGAGTTAGCGGTACGGGGGACTCAACCCTAGCAAACTTAATTTTTATCATTATTTTTCATGTTTGAAGGAGCATAGCAGACAGGACATTTGTATGATTTGTATATCGATCATTTCCTAATTATCACTAAAATAATTAATTTTGATTGGCTCAATTTTATTATTAAATTTAATATTAATATTGCTTTATTTAAAATTAATAAATCTTTTCATAAATGTTTCAAGTAATTAATTTGCAATTTGAGAATTAAATAATAGTTGATTTGATAATTCTTCAGGTTTATATCCACCTGAAATAACTTCTAATTTATTGAAGGAAAAAAATTTATAAATATGTTAGCATATCTTAAATTTGATTTGTATTTATCATTAGCATATATTTTACAATGTGATTTAAATGCAAATTTTATACAAATAAAAGATAATGTATATCAAAAATTACAGGTAAATATTTTATTAAAACATATTTAATTATTAATATTTATATTAAAATTGATAGGAAGTATCTAGTTTATTTTTATTTACAATTGATACTTAGATAAATAAAAATCAACTTTATTTATTTCTTAGAATTTTAATATACTGGATTAATAATGAATAGCAATTACAAAGTACTATTTTAAACTTTTGTTATTTATTAGGTTCATATTCTGGAAAAAATTTAGCAAACAAATTTTTAGAAGTTTTGCAAAATTTTAATTTTAGCAATTGTATTAATAATACAGAAAATGTGGATATAATACTACAAAAAATTTTTTTAAGTTTAAATGAATAAAATATTGAATTTGATTTATATTATCAACATGTTAGATGTCTTGCTTATATTATTAACATAAATGTACAAAACATATTTAAAAATCTTAATGCATTAGGATTAGATAATAAAAATACCTTAAATAAAAAGATTGAAACTGATTAAAATTTACAAAATATTATATATAAAGTAAAATGTATTGTATTATTTAATAAAAAATACTTTTATAATTAATTTAATTTTTAGTTTTTAATTTTTATTTTTATTATAATTTTTAAGCTTGAAAAATTAGTAGTAAAAATTCATGCTTCATTTAAATGACATTAAAGATTTCATCAATAATGTATTGCTTTAAATCTTCAAAAATTAGAATTAATTTTATATATTAAAACCCATTAGAATTTTACAGATATGATGTTAGAAAGAGCTCCTTTATTAAAAAATGCTCTTCATCATATAATATCATCTGATATAAAACTTAATATATATATTCTTTCAAATTATGAATAGAATTGTATTAAAGAAATATATGAATTTTTACAGATTTGTAATTTATTCATAAATATTATTTAAAAATATATTATATATATTTATTAATAATTAATTATATTTAACATTTTAAAAAAAAATCAGATTTTATTACTTGTCAATTATATTCTATACTTTACTATAGTGTTTTAGTTTATAATTATTTAATAAATAAATTTGAAGATACAATTAATAATAATAATAATAGAACTGAAATTAAAAATTCAGCAAAATTAACAAATGATAAAATTTTAGAATATTATCAATTAACAGATGAATATATTTATATTATTACTACATGTCCAATTTTTTTGATTTTGATTAGTATAAAGCAACATTTAATGAATGTTTTACTACTTTTTTTATAGAGTAATTCTATGATTTCATATTAGTCTAAGAGAATTAATTGCTATTATAATTGTAGTCAATACTTTTCAAAATTTTTGGATTAGAAAAAAATGCATTTTTTTATTGATAATACTACTTGTATAGCAAATATTTAATAAAAATATATATCAAATAAGTTGGTTAACAAAATTATATTCTTATTTACTATTCAGATGGATTATATAGCTTCTAAAGATAATATCTGAACTGATATACATTTAAATGGAAAATATGTTAGCTTTATTTCTTAAAATCTAAATATAACATATTTCCACCTAATATTCCTTTATATTTCTCTAATTTAATCAAATTATTATAGACTTTTTTATTTTATTTTTTATTTTTATACTAATTTATAATATATATTATATTTATTATATGCTTTAAATTTTTTATATTTATACTAGATAATATATTGATTATTTTAAATTTATTCTAAGTTTAGAAAATGAAAAAATCATAAAATGATAGTCTTTATTTTAAATTTGGTATTAAAAATAAAATCAATAAATCTTATTTAGGTATTTCTAAACGCTATCAAAAACTTACTTTTGAGTATCAATGGATTAATAATAACATTTTTATTCAGCCTATAAGCATTGATTATTTGTTAGAATATATTTATTTTATACATAAATCAGTAAGACTGTCAACTCTTTATTTTTATCTCTTAGTATAATCTGATAAGCATGCATTTATGAATATGAATTGGGAATTTGTATGATTTAATCCTACATTTATTAAAATTCTGAAGCTCATTAAAAGAAATTATATATATAAGCCAACAAAGAAATCAGAGATGATCATTAGATATCATTTAAAAGTAATTAGCACTTTACAAATTCCAAAATTACTTTGAAGTTTTATTATTTCATTCATTAGCTTTTTGCAGCATTCTATGGTCTTGCTTGTTTAGGCGAATTGATCTATTATCAGCACTTAAAATAATAATACCTTGTATATTAGTCATTCAAATACATAAACTTCTTGTATTCTTATTTATCTACCATTGAACAAAACCAGAAATTCAGCATTTTCAGATATTTTAATTATTTATCTAACCTTCAACTATATTTGTCCAGTTTCTATTTTATCTAATTATATTAAAGCTCATCTTTCAATCAACCCAAAAAATAATCAGAAATATATGTTTTGTTATCATGACGATTCATTAGTTAACAAGAAGTGGTTTTTACATACTTTGAATAAAATATTTCCTGATAAGCATTTAGCAGGGCATGGTTTTAGAGATGGAGGAATAACGGAATTAATACTTAGAGGATTTCCACCTTATATTGTACAAATAGAAGGTTGATTGTCTTCTGATACCTTTGAAGAATACGTTCAATGTTACCGCTTATGTTGAATGCTCAGCTTATACCTTAACACGGATTCAGGAGATTATGCTTTATAGCAATGCTATTTTGTTTCTTAATGAAATAATAATAATAATAATAATAATAATGGGTTTCTGTATGCAAAGTTTCTTATTATGCTTCATATGAGATAGCTTATACGCTAAGAGCTTTCGCAATTATCACGATTCTTTATTAAGATGTACAAGATTCAAAATTTCACATTCGCTAATTGGCATTTGAAAATATATAATAATATATATATTTACATTTATAATAATACAGTATATTGTGTTACAAAAGCAAGCAAAAGCAAGCAGTATTCATAATGCATGAATACTCTATTATATTACATAACTCAGAATGCGCGTGCTCTAATAATAATGCGTTACAAAAGCAAGCAGTATTCATAATGCATGAATACTACATTTACCTTCTATTACATTGCAGAACTCATAATGCTTGTGTTCTCATAATATTTTGAAGAATTCACAATGCATGTATTCTATAATTTACAATAAATTAATTGCTAATTTATTGGGCTCTTGATCCGTGACCTTAAATGCAATTATAATCATAATGCTTGATATATACATTTAATAATAATATTTTGCGAAAGGTAAAATCGGACAAGAAACGCTATATATAAGATGCATGTAGAACTTCATGATTATACAATTAATGGTGTTCGTGATTTGATGTTATACACGCATCAAAAATATTAATATAATTTTGTTCATAATGCTTGACCAACCTTTCTGTTCACATGTGAACGGCTTATAATATTGTTCCGATATAGTAACGTTTCAACTTTAAAAATAGATTATTTAATGGTAATTTTTATTTTTTTATGGACAAATTATGATAATACGAAGTATGTCAATTTTCGTGGCACAAACGGTGATTTTTGCCATGTATGTATGTGTTATTGTTTCGTTTTTTTGGAATTACTAAATTAAGATTCTGTTTAAATATATAAAGTGAAACAAATAAATAAAGTTACCAATTTTGCCGCAAAATTATGATTTGCTCGAGCTAGCGAGAAATGGACATGATTTGTTCGATCAAATTTATTATCAATTAAATCTTTTTTTTTAAAAAAAAAAACTTATTGAAAGAATTAATCAATTACAACGGGTACACAACCTTTGATCCTGCATTTATTTGTTTTTTTTTCAAATGATTGTTAGCAATGATTAGCATTAACGGAAATAATATTTAATCTTACATTATTTTCCATTCCTAATTTTTTTTTTTTTTTTTTTTTTTTTTAAAAAAAAAGGACTGAAATCGATTGTGCAAGACATGTAAATTCCATATTTATCGCATATAAGTAACCGCTGTTTTCATAAAAAAAAATTTTTTTTAATAAGTCTTATTCTCCAAAAGGACCGATAAAGTAAAATTGCAATCGTTGGAAATCAATGCACCAGTTATAATCTTAGTTGGAAAAACAGGTATGCATTTTTGATACTGTATGTGCCTTTCTTTCGAGTTAATTATTTTTCCATTGAGAATGTTCAATTGTTTACCTAGGTGCCGGTAAGAGTACGTTGGGAAATCATTTGTTAAGGATCTCTGATGATGATAAATCGACCTTTGAGGTCTCCGGAGATTTTGTAAGCATCATATAAAAAGATGTAAACTATGTAATTCTATTTAACTAAAGCTAAATTTTATATCAATATTACAAATTTACAAATATTGCAGGATTCATGCACCAACAAATCTAGTTCCGCTGTTTACAAAATTGGTGACAAATCTTACAACATCATTGATACTCCAGGAATTTTTGATACTAACAAGCCAAATAAAGACATCCTTGATGAAATTGCGCGCACCGTACAAAAATGTGCTTATGGGATCAAGGCCATACTATTTGTTTTTGGTGAGTAATAGTTATTTCAAGTAAAATCGAGTTAAATCTTTGATTAACTTTACTGTGTTGTTAACAGAAGCAAAAAGGTTAACGGATGAGCAAAAAAACGTGATCGATGGGATTTCGACGTTTTTCGGGGAAGAGGCCTTTCTATACATGATTTCTGTTTTTTCGAATTGTAACAAGATAAATACAAACGATCCCAAAAAATTTGAAAGATCTTGGAACAAAAAGGTTCGCATGTTTGTCAATCGCATGGGTAATCGGTGGGCCATTTCTCCGAATCCAGACATCTATCCTCTTGGAACTAGCATGCACGAAAAATGTCTAGAAAACTTAGAAAATACTATTATTTCCCTTAATGGTGTGTATACAAATGAACTTCTTGAAAAGACACGAAAAGAACAGGAAGATCGTGCGCGGATTGCAAGGGAAGAAAAAGAAAGGCGACAAAAAGAATATGATGAAATAAAAAGAACTGAAGGTAAAGCCAAGGCAGAAGCAGAATACTTGAAACGGAAGAATGAAGATGATGAAAGAGCACGTATTGCAAATGAAAATCATCTCAATGAGCTTAAAAATGACATGATTAAAAAAATTAATGATCTAGAACGTACGAATAAAGAGCTTATTCAAAAAAACAAAGATGAAATAGAAAGACTTGTCCAGAACAGTCAAAATGAACTAAATCAAAACGAAAACAGAATCGGTAACCTTCGACGAGAAAATGAAGAACTTCGAAATAAGCTTAATAATCAAGGAGGTTGTTTCTGGCTTGAAACCCGTGTTAAACTGGAATCAGGAAGAGTCATTCGAATGTCGGAACTCCAAGTAGGAGATCGAGTGATGTCAAACATCCGCAATGGTATTGAAGAGTTCTCAGATGTTTACCTTATTGCTCACGTTGGTAAACTCGATCATGAAGAAAAATTTACCAAAATTAGCTTTACCAAACCAAACGGTTCTAAAGGTACTATTTCAAATTATTCATGAGTTTAATGACAAAATCACTCAAAATAACTATTGATTATTCGTTTGCAGGTCAATTGCGGCTCACAATCACTCACTACGTCTTCAATGAAAATTTATCTATAATGTTTGCCAAAGATTTGCAGCCAGGAGAAACCAAAATTTTAGTTTCCGATGGTAAAAATATGTTAGTTCCTGTAATTGTGGATGATATAACGAATGTGAGTGGCATCTGTAAATTATTTTTATTCTTGAGTATTTCAATTTTCTGAAAATTTCCAGGTAGATACTTAGAATATTCATTAATTTAATTATAGGAATGGTATGATGAATACATAAGTTTTTACACTCGTGCCGGTACAGTTATTGCTGAAAATGTATTAAGTTCTTGTTATGACGATTGTCCGCCGTCTCAATCGCTCATGGATCTTATTTTTTTGCCAGTTCGCTGGTGGACCGTTTTCAAACCAAGCACGCATCGCGAAAAGCGCCTTCATCCTTATGTTCAGTTCTTGGAAACGACTTATTTTTCTTTAATCAATTTTATCGCGTGATTAACTCAAATAATATGAATAAACCGTGTAACATCATGTGATTTAAATTTTCAAAATTTACCTTTCTATTAAATTTTGTATCACACCTAATTTTTCTTTATCACATTATTCAAAATAAAATAAAAGTTCAATCAAAATTTAAATTTCTAGTATCCAAGGTTATTCATTTCGATATTTCATTACTAATGTACAAAAAAAATTTAATATAAAGGAATTTTCAATAACTTACTTATTTTTTCATAGATACTTTTTTTTAATCTCCATAGGCCCTTTTTAGTATAAAAAAATAATATATACATCTAGAGAATCAAGATAATACGTTATTATTTTCCACGCATACTGAATGGTAAATAAAATATGTTAAAATGACCAAGGTTATTTAAATAAATAGTAAATGACCTCATAATTTGCCATCACTGATACATATAGCTTTTATGCATTTGTATCTTGCGATCTACTTTTCTTTGCTTCATTATTTATTATTAGCTTTGATTAAGTACAATTCCAGTTAACACCTATTTCCTAAATCGACATTTAAAAGGCTCTTATGTTATAGTTCAAGCAATTCCCAAAGCAAGACATGACACTTCAACACGACAGCCCTCAATAGCTATTCAGTTTATTACTAACGATAATCAATGTTGAAACATACTCAAAACTCTGAATGTTTTTAAGAACGAACGTGAATTTCAATTTTTAATTTTTATCATGTTTCTAACGATAAATTTAAAAGTTTTAATATTCTTTTATTTTGTTCATAATTCATAAATGTATTGCACTTGTTTATATTTAAAAATTTGTATTACATTTTGTTGGTTATGCCTTCTCATATTTACATCTTTTTTTATTTATTTATTCAAACGTTTTGAAACGCAAGAACTTAAATCGTCATGCGCGATATTCCGTTATAGTTACTGTATGTCCGAAATGATTTCGGATATCATAAATCGGAATTCGTAGATCGTTTGAGATAGCATGGCATTTATGGCATGTACCAAAATACTAACTTGGGATAACCCAAATGTCCCAAATGACTTTGGATATTTAAAATGGATACATGACAACTTCGGATATCCCGAATGAACACTTTAAAATTTATCTAAGAAATCTTGAAAGTTAGATATAAATATCAAGCGAAAAGCTCAATTTATTTTGGTCAAAATGAAATAAAAAAATAATTTGAATGAGCCGAAGTGTTCATTTTGGATAATCTAATGTTGACTATTTTGGACAGTCTGTTGAACATCTGAAATAATCATGTCGGATATTAAAGAATCAATGTTGTCGATCTATAAAGGAAGCAAGCCATGCCTAGTTATTTTAACAATTAATTAACATTTTATTAAAAAGATTTTCATAAATACGAAAACTATATTGTGCTAAGAGATAATAAAAGGATTATAAATTTCAACCCTTTTTTTTTTAAAAAAAAAAAGATGCAGGTCCCATACAGCATTCTATATTCTGTTTTTATCATAAATTTATTTGTTTCCTGTTACCCAACGTTGTGCAGCACCCATACAAGTATTCTCAGACTATCTTCTCAATAAACATTTTATTTTTACCTCGAACCTCCACATTTGCCTTTGCTCTTGACATTGAAACCATTAATTATCTTGATAAATGTGATTTAAAACAATTACATTTGATATCTAGACACGGAAATTAAAATTTCATACAAAGTTCATAGCATAAAATAATCTCTGATTTTATTCCTTTAAATTATAAGGATCTAGATATTCAGATCACGATAGTATTAGAATTTTTGACGATTTTCTATTGCTAAAGAATGGATAAAAAAGCTCACAATTAAATTATTTTAATTCTATAAAATATTGTCGATATCAATAAAGAGATTAATCATTGATTATTCACAATCTTTTTAGTTTCCCTATGAAGAAAATTTTTCAATTGGTCAAACGAGGTGAAATTGAACCTTATTTTGATAGGTACAATCTCGAAAAAGATATGCAAAATTTGGGATGGAGTTGAATATGATCCCGAAGTTAAAAAATTTTCAAAGCATTCAAACTTCAAGGCAAAATTTATAAATATCATCACGATAATATTCAACTATGATGATTTATGTAATATTCTTCTTTAAGATCTGGTGCGTCAACAATGTCTTTATTATTTAATGACAAGGGGACTTTATACACTTGCAAAAGTCAACCCATATACTATTGGAATATACTAAAGGTAAACTTTTACTGCGACATTTAAAAATATTTTTATTTAAATCCTTTAACAAAACAACACAGTTTATAATTCTAATTTAGGAACAAGATGATATATTATTCATGAATTACGCATGCCGACGTTGGAACGAGACCATTTTTACTAATAAATACTTAATGAACAAATTTATGCTTATGGTAACAAGACTCTAACACCGATAGCAAAGCGACTTTTTGAAAAGTTCCATCCACATCTTGTACCACAAATATTCTCAATTGCCAAATTTGGCTCACGGTTTTTAATCGAACCGACGCGTGGTGTTCGCTATTAAGTCATAAAGAACTTTATTATCACGATATTATTGGGATTTATTAGCTGATTATCTATTTCACTCGACTTGTGAATAAAGTTAAGGATTATTTAAATTGTAATTCCTGCGTGATAGCTGATATAAAAAATACTTATGGTCTATATATATGATGCTTACTACATTGGTGTTTGAAAAGTTTTCATTTTTTATATTTTTATTTTTTTATGTTTATTAAATTTTAGGGATTATTTTCACATTAACGTCAGATTTAACTTTTGAACATATTGAAAATTTCACAGAATTTCGACTTATAAAATGGTCTTCAACACATTATTTCGAAATTTATAAGTGTTCTGATGGTCACGTATTAATATGAGTGTTATTCAATTTTAAACCGCCGGGCTTTGAGAGTGAATATTGTTGGTGATAAATTTGGTTGCGATTTTGAAAAATGTGCTTGAAAGATAAATTTATTTTGAACTTTTCATTACATATTCTTTTTTTTGCCTTTAGTACAAAATAAAGTTAATTAGCAAAATTTTTTTATAAAATTTATGGATATTTGGGGTGAGTGCTGGGAAAATGGACCAAATTGGCTTTTTTTTTAAAGAAAAGTTCCTAAGTAAAATAGATGTAGATTTGGTCATCTGATTCAGATCATTTGTTATTTCAAAAAAAAAATTTTTT